TCCAAGACGTGCTAACTCTAAGTCAAACATTTTAAGGTTAGCACATCTCTGAGCCGGTGGTAGGGCTGGGTTTTGGGAACATTGCTTTCCAGTGGTGTATAGCTGTTGGTAGAGATTCTTCATCTATGAAACAATTGACAAATATTACATTAACCATTACTTAACGTTTTTATTAATATATATACCTGGGTAACAACTGAATCCATTGGTGGTGAGACAAATTTGAGTAGGGTACCGCCAACACCCATCAAAGTTTCAATAATGGGTAATCTGGTCGAGAACTCTACGAGAGCACCTCCATTCTGTTCGAGTAGATTGCACTGAACGGTATCATTCATATGGTTGGCCCGGTATTGCTCGTCACATATAACCAATTGAGTCATTCCTGCGATCTGTTGAATGGCTTTGGCTCTCTGGGCATCACTCGTGGCTTTGCTCAACACCTTTGGCTCACCAGTGGGTCCAACGATATCATTAAATGCCGGGCCGTAAGCCATATTGAAGTCATAATAGCAGTTGAGTCCCTGTTGTCGGGCGGCATTGGATCTCTTGTTGACCATAGCTGTGGCGGTCATCAGGTTTTTTTGGGTCAAATCAATCAACTGTTGGGATGTCAGGCCTTCGAGGGCTGCGTTACCAGCTTTGGCACAACGAATGAACTCAAGCTTCTCGGCCACAGTCGACGCATAGACTGTCGTTCCCATAGAGTAGACATAAGATTTGATACATAAATAGATATAAGTATTGAATGGAGTAGTGTTTTCTTACCGATAGCCAGGGTTGACGCCAATACAATGGTTTGAATGAACATTTTGCTTGTTTTAAACTCTTATAGTGATTAAAACTACTATTAATTCGATTATAAACTTTCATTGGAAATGATCTTCTTTTATATATTATTCTCAATCGGATATTACATAACATATTATGTATAATATTTGAGTTATCTTGTTTAATTAATTATTTTATACAAATGTTTGATTGCATATTAATTGTTTTAATCGATCAATGATTTCATATGTTTTAAAACAAATGTTTTTAACAATTGTACAAAATTAATATCTTGCATGATAATTTATTGCAAAGTTTAAAAAGATAGAACTGACAAATTATCAAGTGTACCCTGTACAGTACGGCATTTTCAATGTCACCAAAATGGGTGCATTTTCAATAATGCACTCAAAATACAATCATTAAAAGGAAGTTCATGTTGGCTTATTATCTTAAATCTAATA